ATATATATATATATATGTTTATAGCACTCTGTTACTGTAGCTATAGCTTCATTTAAAAAAGTATGATTGATATTTTACAATATTACAGCAACAAACCTTCCAAACTAGTTTCAACTCCAGGATGTCTGAATTTTCCATTAGCCAGCTGACACACCAACAAAGCTCACATATTCAAAGTACAACATCAACCAATATGGTCCAACTCCAACAGACAGCACTTATACAACTGTACAGCCTGTAATCAATGTTCATAGCCAGTGCATAAATGAAGTAGCTTGTAGATTCTCCATACCAGAATCTAAAATGACAAGACCCACTTGCCAAGTCAGAGCTGATCATTTGATGTAATCCCAAACTGGCTCAATTAAAATCAAATGAGCATATTGAAGCCTTACAGCTGATGTATTTTTTTATGGGAAACACGGCACATCATCAAACCATTTGAACGAACAGGCTTCTAATGGGAAAGTATTTCATATTTATTTATAGCCAAGAGAAAGTAAAACCTACCAGCTGATAGCAAAGAACACAAGGGGGCTTCATGATGTAGTTGGTGTATTAACTGTTGAGTCATTATCACTTATTCACCATATAGTAAACCTGGATCGCACCCAAATGTCTGTGTGTCATAAATAAAAGAAGCACTTTGTAATTACATCACAGTCTCAACATGACTCTGTGCTAAAGGGAAACCAGTTTTTTTTTAAATAATAATGATTCACTGTTGAAGGACCATGATGTAAAAGCTGTTTAGATGCAATATAAACAAGCTGTTAGCTGTGGTTTGCATCAGCCTTAAAGGGAGACAATGCAAATAGTAAAGCCAAAGTGACTGTGTGTATGTGTTATCTGCATGCCACATTTTGTCACTGTGCAGACGATACACACAGCCTTTTTCAGCATCACTTCTTCAACCTGCAAGCCTGTGCCTGCATGTATGTGTGAAAGTGGGAATAAAATGGCTGCCATCATTTTTGCAAGGCCACGTTCGTGTCTGTGAGCAGCAGTCTGATGCATTTGACCCTACAGCCTGAGAGCTGGCAGGAGGAGGAGGAGGAGGGAGAACAGGTGTGAGGCAGGCTGGTAGCTGGGCAGATGGCCCCTGGAAGTGCTAGCTAATGCTGCAGAGCCTGGACCACAGAAACCTAGCAGCTAACGTTAATACAAGCATATTTATACAGGGAGCACGGCGCAGCAGCACACACACAAACACAGTTATAACTTACAAACACCACTCATTATGTACTCTGCCCTCATCACCAGCTTTGTTTACTTTTCATTTACTCAATTTCTCTGTAAACACACACTCCTAGTAATGGTCTTTTCAGTCAAGTCACTAATTTATTGTAAGTCCTAGTGGTTTAAGAATGGGAACAAATCAACAGATGACACAGTAAATGACAGCCAAGTTACCAGTTTGAATAGTATGTCCACTTATGTAGTAAATAAGAATAAACTATGACAATTAACACTGATGCTAATATGCATCATGTCAGCCAAATGCAATACCAATTTCTTTGATTCACAGAGGACAACAAGACTCGTTTTGAAATACCGATGTGGTTATTTTGGTCCTTATTTTATGTCAGTGCATTTCAATTCATTTTCATCTGTAAATATATTTAACTACATTTACAGTGGGTCGCACTTTTAGAGGAGTTAACATTCACTCTGTTGGATGCCTACAAAGCTTTGCATGGGACTATTTGAGTCTTTGGCATGCGTAAAAAATGTCCCTGTGGATTTCCAGGAGATGTATTCCTCCTTCCGTGAGAACAGTAGGCCATCGACAGTAAGTTGTGCCTCTGCAGGCTCCTTCCTACCCCGCATGCCTGCTCTTTTCCCAGTCGGGGTAATCCACTGGACTAAAATATAGCCCGAACCCCTTTATTTCAACTCTAAAGCCGCTGCGTTAAAAACAGATTTTTGCGTTTTTTCGGTTATGTGATGATGACAAAGTCGCAGCGGAAACTTCGCGTGGATTTGAGAAGATGCGTATGACAGTTGTGGCGGAGCTCTGGAGGATGATTTCAAATCCAAACTGAAAAGTAAAGCCCCTCTTCCAGGACGCCCGAGCAGGGAGGAGAAGCTGGGGCGGCTCTCCACAAAACAGAATGGCAAAGTCCAAAAATCTTTGCAGTAAAAATTTAAAGCACGATTCACATCGTGAAATTCAGTTTGGAGACGAAAAAGAATAATTAAAGACGAAGTATGTATCTGTTTCTTTCATAAAGTTGTCCAATTTAGGATGATTCCGTTTATTCAACGAGCAGGGGCCACTGAATTCACCTAATGTTATTTTAATCCTTCATTTAAAACCCTCCGTGGCGCATTTAATGTCTACCCCGTGCTGAGGGGTGCCAATAAACACCTCGCTGTAAAACTGATACGCTGTCCCTGTTTTGTGGAGACTGTCAGCTGATTTGAAGGCTGCTTCGCTTTTAGAAAGGGATCCTGACAGACCAAATGGGAGTCCCTTATCATGATCCGTCGACTGAAGTTGCCTGTTGCCCAAGAAAACTCTCCATCCTGGGTTCAGTCTCATGACTTGATATCCGCTTTTTATGGAGTCAGGGGCAGCTGCAGGTTGATGGCCCTATTTAAACAAACTGAACCGGTCATTTAAGATAATTGTCCCTTTGGTAACACAAAAATGAATCATTTATGGGTTGTTCTCTGAAAGTGTCCTGGACACAGTAACGGGCTAGTTTCATTTTCTCAGGCTAGTTTTAAGCAAGCGGGTGTTAATTCTGCATTGTTAGGATCTACAACTGAAATGTCTTTAATAGCAGCGAATTCATAACAAACATATACTGTCATGGGTCATCCGACCTCCGATTTGTAACCATAATACAAAACGCGCAGCACAGACACACGTCGTTCGCTCCTGCAGTAGATGTGCCATCGCAGGTCATCTCGGATAAGTAATATTAAAAATCTTTCAACAATTTTTTAAAGAAATATTGGCAAATTGTCGGATATAATGCACACAAGTCACTCCAAACCGCACGCTGGGGCAGTCTGTTTGCTTTACGTTTAAATATACGAAACCAAGCAAAAATCAACTATTGAAAATTTTATAGTGGATCAGAAGCTACTGCACGTTGTTTTCTTACTTTGGCGCAGATATGTCTAAATAAGGACACAGAACACTCAGCCAATGCCTACAAGGGGAAATAAATATCGATATAACAAGAGAAAAGACACTTACACTGAAAAGAGGCAGAAATTCCCACCATGCGGTACCTTAATGTCAGAGGGCTAAATAATTTCCAGTCTTTCTGACTCCGCGCAAGGTCCCCTCGATGATCCGCTTGTATCGGGAGGACGGAAGCTACAAAGTCCGGCCAGCTCTCGGGGGCACTGGCGATATACTTCCAGCAGTTCAGAAATGTGGTTCAAACTCCGACAAGAGAAGAAGGCCAGCTCAAGGCTTGCAATAAGTGATCAGTCACTGGAGATACTCAGGATGGGAGAGTCTTAGGGGGTCTTGTAAAAGCACAGAGGAAGAGAAGGAGAGATGAGAAAGAGATGGATGATGCACTATAGTGCGCAGGGCATCCGTGTAATTGTTTTCCCGTCTTCGCACCACCTCCAAAATCCGTTAAACGTCGAGTCTAGATAATATAAAGTGTTTTTATATGAGAAAAATTCATGCACACACCCTCGTTCTCGTGGCTCCTTGTTTTCTGCTTCTCTGGTGTGGGGAAGAGGAGTAACAGCGCTCTGCCTCCAGTCGGCGGTGCGCAGCAGAGCCAGGTGGCGATGGGCGGGACTCAGGCGCCGCTGAGGAAGAGGGGGAGGCGACTGGGCAGCAGCCAGCATCTGTGTGTCCTAAAACAGGTTGGAAAAAGCAGGGTCAGGTCACATAGAAGTGGCTACCGAAGCTTTTTCATGTCAAGGGCTCCCACGGAGTTTGCTCTGTAAACTTTTCACTAAGGGCCCAAAATGTGTGTAGTCACATATTATTTTATTAAGAATTAAAGGAAACGTTGATGTTTTTTCCAAGTCTGTCCTAAAATAGCATGCACATTCATTTTTTTTGCGTTGCATACAATTAAGCAATTACAGTCAGGGAAAAAAATATTTGAACCCCAGCTGATTTTGTAAGTTTGCCCACTAACAAAGAAATTATCAGTCTACAATGTCAATGGTAGGTTTATGTGAACAGTGAGAGACACAACAATAACAAAAAAATCCAGAAAAATGCATTACAAAAAAAGTTATACATTAATTTGCATTTTCATGAATGAAATAAGTATTTGATCCCCTATCAGTCAGCAAGATCTCTGTCTCCCAGGTGTATTTTATACAGGTAACAAGCTGACATTGGGAGCCCTCTCAGCTCGTTACCTGTATAAAAGAGACCTGTCCACAGAAGCAATCAATCAATCCAGATTCCAAACTCTTCACCATGGCCAAGACCAAAGAGCTTTCCAAGGATGTCAGGGACAAGATTGTGG